ATGCTCACTAAATCGACTAATTACATTTTTTTACTCTCCGGATTTGAGGTTGCTTACAAGAATTCACAGGAAAAATTTAAAAATATTTTTAACACATAAATACAAATCAGACTAGTCTCTCTCAGTGAGAAGAGTTAATATGTAGGCATATAGACTGTATGGTCCTACGTACTTACTAAAGAACCTAAAATTTCACCTTGGGTTTCCTGGTGGTAAAAGCAAAGAGGGAAATGTGCTCAATTGCCAAATTTACATTTTCCATGAGAAAAAATTATACTTCCTTTTAAGAAATTAAGTTTATTTTGATACTTAGATATGAAAACACTTTTTATTAGGATTTACATTTTAACATGTAAGGGAGTAGAACAGCATAATAGAGAAATGTCTAACCACAATATTTCTTACAAGCAAGTTTCTAAACCTAATACTTCTAACAAGTGAATTATTTTTCTCTAACTCTGTTGCCAGGTAACATTACAGATTTTGAGCACAGCTCACATCCAGAGGCGGTTCCTTTCAATGAGAGTTTGACCAGGTGGGATTAATAAGAGAGGACATCAATATTATATATTTGAAAAGAAGAGGTTATTAGGAAAGAGAGAGAGAAATATAAGCATTGTAGAGAAAGAAAAACAGTTGAAATTAGTTAATTTACAGCTAACCAAACAAAAATGAGTGATTTAAAACAATTAAAAACAAAAAGAGTAAATTAAAATCATGGGTAGATGAATGAATAAATAAGAAAAATGCTAAAAAAACAAATACAAACAAACAGAACTAAAACACTGAAAGAAGAATTGCTTTAGGAAAAGATAGATAAAAGAAAGGGATAAATTTTATTTATTTAAAGATAGATAGATTTATTTATTTATTTATTTATTTATTTATTTATTTATTCATTCATGATAGACAGACAGAGAGAGAGAGACAGAGAGGCAGAGACACAGGAGGAGGGAGAAGCAGGCTCCATACCAGGAGTCTGACGTGGGACTCGATCCTGGGACTCCAGGATTGTGCCCTGGGCCAAAGGCAGGCACTAAACCGCTGAGCCAACCGGGGATCCCCAAAAGGGATAAATTTTAAAGGAGAAAATATTACTTAGAGAATTTGAGTGTGTATAAGACAAACATTATGACTTTTTAAAAGAAACATGTATGGAATAAGATTAGAAATTCTGGAGAAGGGGATCCCTGAGTGGCTCAGCAGTTTAGCGCTTGCCTTTGGCCCAGGGCGCGATCCTGGGTCCTGGGATCGAGTCCCAGGTCGGGCTCCCTGCATGGAGCCTGCTTTTCCCTCCTCCTGTGTCTCTGCCTCTCTCTCTCTCTCCTCTCTCTCTATGTCTATCATTAATTAATTAATTAATTAATTAATAATTAAAAAAAGAAATTCTGGAGAATAAGAAACACAGTGTAAAAGACTTGGTATTTTATGACTACTGATGCCAAACTGACGTTGTCATAGCTATGAACTGATCATAGATAAGAGATTAATTCCACTACCCCTATATTTTATAAATCCACAATTTCAACCCTCTATAATAGTTTTCTTTCATTTTGTTGTGGACTAGATTGATCTAAATAATTTCAGATGTTGTCCGATACCTTTATGAGTGAACTTAAGCTCCTAAAAATGAAATACTAAGCTGATATACAGTCTAAGTTGTTGTAGCTGGGCTTAAAATAGTAGAGAAATCATTACCTTTATAAAAAAAATTATGTATTGGTGTATAGAATAGAGAAGTATGTGTCAAAAAAATTAAATTCTGGGGGTGCCTGGGTGACTCATTCGGTTAAGGGTCTGACTCTTGATTTCAGCTCAGGTCATGATTTCAGGGTCCTGGGATCAAGCCTATGTTAGGCTCTCTGCTCAGCAGAGTCTGCTTGAGGATTCCTTTCTTTCTCCCTCTGCCCCTCTCCATTTGTATTCTTTCTGTCTCTGACTCTGGTTTTCAAATAAATAAATCTTTAAAAAAATTAAATTCTGTTAATCAGGCCTTAGGTTGGAATTTCAGTACCAAAATGAAGCAAATTACTAGTTATTGAAGCAGTCAAGGTAAAAATGTACTAGATATATCAGGCATAAGAACCTAATGATAATTTTTTTTACCTCTTTCTCAGTAGATTAATTGTAGAGCTTAATTGTATGTTAGATTAAAACTCCATTAAGATAAGAAGAATATGCTTAAAATCATTATAATATTTCAAATAACATTATCTAGTCATTTTAAAAGTGATCAGAATAGGAAAATCTAGGCTGCCTCCACCGCTATGTAGAAACGAATTTGTTGTTCCATTTTTATTAAAGCTAAAAAGTCCTAGATTAGCTGTCATATTAATGTTTGCTGTGAAGACAAATACACATATTTTTCTTTTCTTTCTTGAAGAGGACAAAACACGTCCTGAAAACGTTTAGAAGAAGTAGATGAATGTGGTTTCTGAACGATATGGGAAGTGCTGTTTTTGCTGGAACTTACAATTCCTATTTGGATCGCTTTTTTAAGAGGGAGAGAGAGATAGAGAAAGGATGTGAAGAGAATAGTATGCCAAGAAATAGTTGGCTCTGTGTGCAGAGGGGCAAGGAAGGGAAGCCCCGCCAGCAGTTTTTGTCTCTGGTGGGTGAGCTGCTGTCCGGAAGGTGCGTTGGCTCTCCGGGCTGCCTCTGCTGCATTGTGCTACTCCCTCTCTCCCTGGCCTGGCCTGCTCTGGCCTAGAGTGGATCAAACAAGCCGTGGGGAAAGTTCCCCTCATTTGCATCACTTCTAGACAGCCCTGTAGTACTCTTTGCTGACAGGAAATCACTGTCTTTGTCACCTTTTCTCAGGGCCCTCCTTTTGGCAGAGATGGGCCATGTGACCACGCTTAATCACAACAACAGGGCTGGCTCAGGACTCAATGACATGTTTTCCTCAGCACTTCAATAAATGGGGTAGAGGAGTCAGGAGGAAATGACTACATTAATTTTAAAGTGAAAAGATAATTAACACTTGAAGGACTAATGCTACAACCTATGGAATTATTATTCAAATTGAAGTTAATTTATCAAAAACTTGTGAAAACTATCTCCCCTAATGCAACTGTTTTAAAAAAAAAATCAACCTTGAATTGTAAGAGTTGGGCCCGTTGGAGGGAGAATGGGAAGAAGGCGGGGAGAGAGGGGCTTTGGATAGAGAGGGAGAGAGAAGGGCGCGGGGGGGGGGGGGGGAGAAAGAGGGAAATCATAGCAGGCATAAGCTGTGTTTGAAAAAGCAACTTAAATGGGCTAAAACTTCAACATTTGGGCCTGAAGGCTGGAGCATGTAAAACGCTTACTTAGATGATATGAATAGGACACTGGCAAACAAAAGCAGCAGTGTGCTCCTAGAAAACTGTGCTTAAAGGAGTTTCCTTGGCAACAGAAATGCAGTTCCAAAAGTAGACAGAACTTTCCTCAGAAAACATACTATTAATAACAACCTTCCGGAACAACTTGGAACAATTTGACGACTTGGCAATAATAATGCCAAGTGTTCTGCAAATTAATCTCACACATAACAGTTATGTTTCCCTTGCCCGTAATTCTGCTGGACCCTACCAAGAACTCCCTGCTTTTCGGTGGCGCGAATGTGAAAAATATTTCTAAATGTTGTCATGGGAAAAGAAAACCAAAAGAAATGCTAGTGGCCGGCAGCGGCCAGTGATTGTATTCAGCCCCTTGGAACCCAGGAGATAATTTAATGAGATGAGTTGATTCCAATTAAAGTGACTATGTCTAGTATCTCGTCCCAACAAACATGCTTCCATGAACAAAACTCATTAAAGGGTTAACAGCCTGAGAACTGCTATGATGTGAAGCACATCTTGAGGCCACTGGTTATATAAATGTAACACTTCACTAAATACGTGCTGGGTGTTATTTTTAAAAGCATCATCATTTCTTGTCAGCCCAGAGAATAAACTAATCTGGGATCTACTTGGCCAATGGGAATCATTTGAATTCTCCTGAATGCAACACATTTGCCAGCCAAGAAAGGTATAGTGTTCCCCTCCTCTGACCTTTCTTGAATCCTTGGATCTAAAGGTTAAAAGTAATCAATATCTCATTGCACGGCTTGGTTTCAGGGTAATAAATAATAACCATCATGTTAAAATCCAAATGATTACAGATAGCTCTTAAATGAGTTGACCTGTTTGGAAGCTTTTATTAATTGCAATCAGAATAATCGTTAGAGTTTGCTAATAAAATTTTGGATTAAATTGCAAAAATTCCAGCCTTTAACTTGAAAAACGACTTTTGCTTAATTAGATGTGAATGTGTACTGGTCCCTCCTGTGTTAAGTTGAGAGATTTGGCTTTAACCACACATCTTTGGAGATTTCTTTCGGTTTTTATAAAATAAATTAGAGGAACACTTAAACTACTTATAAGAAAGGGTGTTAGGCTCACTACCACCTTTTGCTCCAGAACTGCTCAATACTGTGTGTAGGTTTCGGGTCAGTGAATCCGTGGAAATGTCCCTCACCTACTTTTTAGCATTTCCTATTTTTAAATTACTTATCTTTAGAGACTATATTCATATTTGGACTGATCTGCTTTGTAGCTAGAAAAAAACATACGATGTGTGATTACACTTCACACGGGATGAACTGGGAGTTATTTATTTTGTTTGGAAAAAAAAAAAAAAAAGGACTACCAAGGTTTAAAGATGAAGACCAAGCATTATCATTGACAAAAGGGTCTTGATGTAAAAAGGATAAATGTTAGGTTTAATGTCCATGTAATTACTTCAGGAAGGCATTGGTCATCATAACTATTTCATAACTCCAACACTAAATCATATAAACCTACAATATGTTATAACATAGCCAAGTGTATAAGATACGCCATTGAATCCAAATATTGTGTCCTTATGATTATTCTAGTTTTTACAATTTATTAGAATTTCATACATGTATTCCTAAAACAGGTAGGTGGGGCTTAGAAGGGTAGCTAGATAATATTTTAGTTATTTCAAAAAAAGTCCTGGTACTTGCTTTGGCAGCACATATACTAAAATTGAAATGATACAGAGAAGATTATCCAGGCTCCTGCACAAGGATGACACACAAATTTGTGAAATGTTCTATATTAAAAGAAGAAGGAGAAGAAAAAGTAGTCCTGATACCTGTTCAGAATATTCTGGAAAATCCTGGGTTGGAAAAGTTCAACCATAGTACTTTCAAAGATCAACTCATTAACTTCCTTTTCTTGCCCTTATCTCACTAGCATGTCTAACTTTAAAAAGAGAAGATGTGGGACATCATTTTGAAGTATTAGGAATTCTCCAACCCAACTATTTCCAATATTAAATGTTCATATTGCCTTAAATCCCATCCTTAAGATTCATCTTTGAGGTAAAAAAGAACACACTCTACTGGATACAGATATTCTCAGGAGGTAGGGGAATAATACTGAATTAAATGCCAATTTTAACATTTTGTTAAAATTGAAAGGGTACTAGAAAGGGAAGATGGAATCAGTAGAGAGAAGAAATCTAAAAAAGAGACCAAGGACAGATATTATTTATTTCACCATTTGATAAGAAGGGAGATATGTTTGTGTGTATGTGTGTATTATGAGAGTAGGATAGAAGGAGAAAAAAAATGAAATTGGTCAGATCTTACTATTTGACTTTGTTAGTCCCTTATACATATCTTATTTAACACTCATGGTGATCCTGGATTATTTTCCCCATTTCATGGATCTGAGCCTGAAACACAAGCAGGTTAAATGACTAGCCTAAAAGAACCAGTTTCTCGGGTTAGGCTAGGGTTTGCTGAGATTCCAAACAATCCCCAAATTGCAAAAGTTTAAAGTTACAAAGATTTATTTCTCACACATACTACACATCCATCACAGGTTGGCTGTGGGCTCTGCTTGGCATTGTTTTTACTCCAAGACTCAGACTAATGAACCAGCCACCCTCCTTAAATATTCCTTCACTGTGGCAAAGGGAAAGGAGAGTTATGGAGGGTATCCCTCTTCACATAAAACCTTCTACTTGGAAGGGAAACACATTACTTCCTCTCAAAATCATTGACCACAACTAATTGCGTGGCCCTACCCAATTCCAAAGTGGATGGGGAAATGGATCCCTACTATATGCCTAAAAGGCAGAAAGATAGAAATCGTTGTTGAGCTGTATCAGTAGCTTCCACAAGAAATAAGTAAATAAGTCAGAGTTTGAACCCAATCTGTTTGGCTTTAATGCAGTCTTTCACATGCTACTTGCCTGCTCACTGTTGCCCCATATCATCTTCTCTACAATCGGAAGAATGCTTGCAAGTGCATTTTCCTCACTTGTACCAGATAGAAAGAACTTCCTATATATTAAATGAAACATCAGCAGAGGAAACATGATGGACTTGGGTTTGCTCTTTAGCCCATCATCAGGCTGTTCTGTGAAAACCCCCAAACTTTCCTAAGCACCTCAGCACCCTGGGAGAATGTTGCCATGTGGAACTTCACAGGAACCTCCTTTATTTGGTGAGATTCAGGAAAGCTAAGGCTGAAAATATTCAAGTTTTTGGAGAGAGAGATGCACTAAAGGCAGCATTACACTAGGAAGATTCAACCTCATGGATCCGGTTATTGCCACAGGGAGTTACTGGGGAAGGGGTCCCCATGGAGAGGTACTCTAGAGGAATACCGTTTGCAGAAAAACCACTTTCCAGTCCTGTCAAGGAAGCAATTTCAGTTCTCAGAAATAAGGGCATTCCCAAGCATATTTTTAATAATGTTGGCATTTGCGAAGCTCATACATTCTTAAACTAGGCACTTCTGTGACACTCTGTACCTAATGAGGCACACTGGGGTAAGCTAAGAGGGAAGCAGTGGTCTTCCTGCTGAACCCTCACTCATTTACATAAGGTACAAAACATAAACATACACACACGTACACACACATGCATGCACACACTCACATACACATTTTCTTTTACTGAAGCCAGGAAAGAGTCAAGCAGGCTAATGCTTCTAGAGATGATTTTAATTTTCTTCTAAACATTTTTAGACCACAGAGCCTTTCTCTAGAAGGACATCTATACACCTTTGTAACTCCCCTGAACATACTATTTTAGCCACTTTCTTAAATCATTGATTCTATATGCTCATTGATATTTGCTTAAAAAAAAATTTGTGATTCGTGATGTTTTCCTTCTCATCTCATTTTATCCATTGAAAACTATAAAGTTTGTGGAAGAGGTCCATGTGTACACATGGTTATGCACACACATTTATGTGTGTTCACACATATAGACACGAAGTATACAAAGTATTAACTCATTTAGTTAAAAAAAATCTTTCATAAGGATTGAATTTAGATGAAACCAGATTTCTTGGGCCAAATATGCTGGTAGTCCCAGGATATTTAAGTCACACATATGGAGATCCCTGGGTGGCTCAGCAGTTTAGTGCCTGCCTTTGGCCTAGGGTGTGATCCTGGGGTCCTGGGATCGAGTCCCATGTCAGGCTCCCTGCATGGAGCCTGTTTCTTCTTCTTCCTGTGTCTCTGCCTCTCTCTCTCTCTCTCTGTGTCTCTCATGAATAAATAAATGAAATCTTTTAAAAAATCACACATATGTAAATAACTACACAAACTTCCTTCATACATGCCAAGTTTCAGTTTGGAGCTAATTTTTATGTTATAAGTCTCGGCATATAGGATTTTGCTACCTTCATTATAATAGTTTTACCCTGTCGATATTCATAGGTGTCTCCCTAAGAGAGCCCTCCTTGAGAATAATTTAGCCATGAGCACTTTGTTATAATTTAATGCATACTTTTTAATAGTGATGATAGATTTGGACTTTTAGACCAAATCTGAAAATGGATAATTAAAATTTTTGTTAGACTCCATACTCCAGGAGGGCAGGGTCCATGTCTGTGTTGTTTATTGCCATATCTCCACTGCCTAGTGTCGTACCTGGCACATAATAGAAACGCAATAAATATATATTGAAAAACATTTTTCAAATAGGTTTATTTAATAATCTACTAATTAAATTCTACTGATCCAACCTATGCTATCAATTCTTTACTTTTGCAAGAGAACAACCCTATCTTCATGCCATGGTAATTCAGTCTGAAACTTCATGGCTTCCTCTTACACCGTAAATTCAAAAAAAATCAAAAATCTCTCTCCTTTAAAAACTGAAGTGCATTAAGTGCAGTGCTTACTACTCAGAGTACCCAAATTTGGTCAAGTATCAGGGAGAAAGACAGGGAAAAAAAGGGGGGGGGGAGGAAGGGTTGGATAATGATGCCCATGTCCGAGGCAAACAGTACAAAAATGCACAACTAATCACCATAATTCTGTGGCTAGTCTGTAAGCCCTCAAACTGTAATATTGGTTGTTGTATTCTTGATTATGTAGACAGTATAATTACTTATACATATAAGGATATGATGTCCCATGCAAATGTAAAATAGAACAATAGATGCAGGTGAATGAACATGGACGGCCGTTAGAAATGCTAGGAATATCAGCACATTTTTTTCCTTGTACCATAGTTAATGGGAGAGTTTATTAACATATTTATTGTAGTATATTAGAGTTGACATCAGAGGAGTGTGTATGTCTAAAAAAAATAGTTATGGAGGAAGTAAGCAAAACAATAAGAGGTAACCCGAGTCCATCGTGATCAGGGTGGATGGATGGATGGAGTCTAAAAGACTGACTCAACTTTCCAAAGCTACAGCTAGCTAATTCAGAATAAGCAACTTAATAAAAAATTAACTTTTGTGGCTGGGATGTCAGGAGAAATCTAAAATGTAATTCTGAAACTTTCTCCTACTCGTTCATTTAAAAAAAGTTTCTCACTATTCATAGTTTTTAAAAATAATCCTCATATATGGTCCTTTATCTCTTTCACTTAGCCATTAATTGAGAGCTTCATTGGTTTTATGTAATTAATAAAAAGCTAAAAGATGTACCATTTAAATGAGAATTTGATACAGATTTGTGATGAATTCACCATTTGCGAATTCACTATTTGCCCCTATTTATGTCCTTGACATCCATTTGGGTTTTAGTATGTTCCCTTTGAACTTTGTCCTTCCTCCTCTGCTCTCCTCAGCTGAAACATGTTGAGATTTGAAAATATGTGTGAAGTACGTCCCTTTCTCTGTGATTTTTCTCTCTTCTTCCTCAGTCTCTTCTGCCTGCTGATGCTAAAGATCCATTCTGTGAATCGCTGGATTTCTTACAAGCTATGAACAAAAATCCTCATGTTCATTAAAACTTAAGTATAAATGAATCTCTAGAGCTGAGCTAATTGAATTCTTTTTCTACAACATGGGAATATAGCAAAATAACTCAGAGTTGGCTAGCATTTTATAATCCATGTTTTGATGATAGTCTAAGAGGCTCTGTCTGTCCAAGTTTGGGTTAGAAAAAGAAATGAAGTATGGAAACACTGTCAGAAGCCTTTTCTGTTTACAAAAAGATCCAGGGATACCATGAGTAATGCCAGAAATCTCATGTGACAGCCAGCTCTTGTGGGATTTTTTGAGCTCACCAAGTTCAGGAAATAGTTCCAGAAAGCTGATTGGAGTTCAAAGATTTTTTTTAAAAAATTAACTGAAGTGAATAATTGTGTGTTCTGTCCATTGTCCAACACTGCTGCTCAGACCTGTGCTCTGCTGGGGCTGTACATCTCCCCAGGGCTCGGTAATATTGGGCACTCGATAAATACTTTCTGATTTAAATCACCTGCTTAATGAGTGTTTTCTCCTGAATCTTCCAAAGTGAATCTCATAGAGGTTTTGTACAGTTATTTATTTCCACGGGAGGTGAGAATTTTACCTGGAGTTTCAGGACTGCAAGTGACCTCGTAAGGACCTTCATTTCATTTCCTCTCTTTTAAGGATTGTTTTTTATCCATTCCAGATAGGAGAGAATTTGTCCTCCATTAAAGATCTTTCCAGAGGGAATTCCACAGCCTCCCATTAAAATGTTTAACAACTCTCCCTGCCCTGAAAGTCTTCTTATATCTAGTGTAAATCCCTTCTGTTGTTAGGTTTAATTGTCAAATCAGCCAGAATCCATGCTCGGTAATTAAACCCCTTCTTTCTGTTTTCTATATAGTCACAT